TTCCACATGGTGCTGAAATGTCCACCATTTGAGCCATCGTGATGAGCTAAGCATTGTCCTTGTATGGGTCATCAAAGGAGTGGGATGTGCATATTTTGTCCCCAACACCCCAACTCCTCAAGTTGGATCATTAAGCCTCTGGGGTGGCCTTGAACTTGGACGGGGTGGGATGGGGCTTCCAGTTCATCCTGTGAGAGCTGGCCTGGCTGAGGGGTTCTGGCCCTACCATCTCCCCTGATTCCCCTAGGCCACTGAGCAAAGGAGCAACTGGCCCAGGGGTTCCCACCTCTGGGCTGGGGGAGAGGAGTGGCTAAAGTCCCAGACTCCGGGGCTCAGCCAAAAGTTGATGCTGCCACCCCCAAAGCCCATAATGAAGTTGGGGCCCAAGCCTCCGTGGGACAGGGCGACGACAGCGAGGGCTGCTAAGGGAGCCCAAGGGAAACTTGCATAACCAGAACTATGAGGGAGCCATCCATAGAGAGGGGCCCCATCTGTACCCCGTCCCCACCAAGCCCTAATGAGTGAGCAGCCGACATGTCATTCCTGGTCCTGCAGACACGTAGCCGTTCCCGTGGTCATCTCAGCCATCCTCCAGGGCCTGCCCTCGGGTCCTTGGAGGACTCATCTGTAAATCAGCCTATTATTCCCGCCTCTCTGAGCAGGTAGAATGTCAGGGAAGTGATCAATAAATCCTGCTTTCTTCTGTTCCAGGACAGTTCCTGGTGCTCAGCTCCAGCCGGTGAGTGATGGCAGGGCCAGCGGGAGGCAGCGCTGGGGAGAGGGCGGAAGGGACTGAGGGTGACCGGGCTGGAGGCCAGGCCAGGAGAGGGTGGGGCTCATCAGCTAGCCAGAGGGCCAGGCCTCCCTGCTGCGGGACTGCCGACCCCCCATGGGCTCATACAGCCCTGGCACCTGCCCCGCTTTGCAGAGGAAGGGAGGAAGGCCCAAGGGGTGGTAAGTGGGAGCCCAGCGTCCCACTGGGACGCTGGGAAGGATGCGCAGCAGGCCCATTCCTTCAGCGTCAGTGAGTGTGGGGGTGCGGGCTTCCCCAGACTGGGGTGAGAGGGGCGAGGGGAGCCCTGCAGGACAACCTCCCTCCCACCTCCCTCCCACCTCCCTCCCAGCTGAGGTGGACAGGGCGGTCCACAGGGCCTGCATGGAGATGGGAGGCCCAGCGCTGCTCCAGCCCTTCCCAGAACTGCCCCTTGTGAGAGCCCTTCCCCACACAGTCTGACTGTGTGACCTTGGGCAAGTCACAGCACCTCTCTGGCCCCAGGTTTCTTCTGCTTCTGCTCCATTAATCAGACAGGACAGTTTGCAAACTCAGTGAGACTGAGTTTCTGAGGAAGAACCTTGGAAAACCATAAAATGAGGATGGAGGCCAGAGTCCTCAGCTAGGAGGTCCGGATTCTGGTCTTACATCTGTCCCCACAGCCTGAGTCACCTTAAGCAGGTCTTTGCCCTCATGGAGCCTCTTCTGTTCAAAGAGGCTGGGGGTGAAGCCAGGCACTGGTCTGTCGCCTTCCCCCAAACTCCACCAAGTAGGGTCCCTCCGGACTTGGGGGTGGTGGTGAGAGGGTGGGCAGTGTGGGGAAGGGGAAGGTCAAGGTCAGGTCAAAGCTTGGTTGGCTCAGTGCCTGGGCCCACTCTGCAGGCACCCTGGGACTGGCTGGAGGAACAGCGCCACCTGCTGTACGGGGCCGGGCGGGGGGAGGGCAGGCCAGGCCTGGGGCTCCAGGAGGCCCAACAAACTGTCTGCTCACCCAAGGCCAGCAGCCAGCTGCCCCCCAGGCCTCACGGTCCTGGAGCCTGCATGCGCTGGGGTTCCTGGGGTGGCCTGGCTGGGCCTGGCCAGCTGTTCTGCACCCTCCTAAAGAAGCACTCGGCAAAGGTTTCCAGTGGCCCTCACATTTCAGGGCTACCCTGCTGCGGGGGGGTTTACTGGAGTCCTTCCCCCTCTGCTCTAGTTCTCGGTATTGGGTATCGGGAAGGCGGGGGAACTGTCAGACCAGCCTGGTACCCCACATGCTGGCCCTGTGGTCTTGGGCAGCTTACTTACCCTCTCTGCGCCCTGAGCCTTCAGGGAGGAGAGAAGCGGCTGACAAGTCCCGTCTTTCAAGGCCCTGATGAGGTCATGAACGTGGATTCCGCACCCCCTGCCCCCACCTGTACATCTTTCACGGGGGCAGGGCTCAACAAGGGACTGCCCCCATTCGTGTGGGGCTCTGAGGGTCTTCTGGTCCCTCACTGTGACTCTGAGTGTGGTCCTAGACCAGGGCATCGACAGCAGCGCGAGCCAGGCTCAGAGGGACCCCCCCGACTGACCTCAGCTGCGGGGGCCCTCCCAGCCCATCGTCCCCTGCTGGGAAGAGAGGTCACTCAAGGCAGCGTGCTTCTACATCCAGTTTATACACAGCTCTATACAATATACAGAAACCTTTATATACAGATATATTTATAGAATAAGCTATATTAATTTGTCTCTCCTTTTTACAGCAATATTAGTTTGGATCTTTCATACAGTAAGTACAAAAAGTCGTGGGCGAATGGCACGGACAGTGCATGAGTGTCTCTGGGGCCCAGCTGCTCGCTACCGATTGCATATGGAGGTCACCCAGGCCCCTGGGAGAACAGGCCAGCTCACGGCTGGGAAAGTTTGTGCTGCGGTCTGGGGGAGCGAGTGGGGGTGGGTCTGAGCCTAGCTGGGCTGAGGGGGGTGGCTCAGACCCCCCCAAAGTGTGGTGTGGGGAGGAAGGGAGAGATGCGCAGCAGGCCCATTCCTTCAGGGATGTGGGGGGCAGGGGGCGGGTTCGGGGCGGGCTGACCCTGGGGCATCCAGGGCTGAGTCCGAGCCTGCCCCAGCCCCAAGTCTGTAACCCTGCGCGGCTGCAGCCTTGGGGGTGGGGAGTCTGTCCCTGATGGCTCAGTCCTGGGCATGGGTAGGTACCACGCCCCCTTAGAGGTCCCAGGGCCCACCCTGGCAGAGGAAGAATTAAAAGGCCAGACACCAAGTCTCGCCCAGCAATTGGCTGAGGTGCTTGTTGGAACTTTAGTCTGATTTACGATTTGTTTTTTTTAAACTCTAAGAGCCACTGATTCCATCTTGCTTCTGCCGGGCCCAGGCTCTGCCAGCAGCGGGCCCCTCAGCAGGGGCGTCCTGGAGTCTTGTTGGGGGGGTGGTTGTCAGAGAGGGAGGTAGACCCAGCTCCCCACTCTCTGTCTCCATCTGTCAGGGTGGGCAGGGGTCCCAGAGCAGCATCCGGGCCAGTCCCAGCTGTGGGGGCCGGAGGTCAGGACACAGGCCCCAGATACCAGTGATCATGAGATTGGGGGGGCGGTTTCTTGGTCTGGGGAGTCTAGCAGCCCCGGAGAGGCCATGGAGGGGCCAGCGTGTGGGGGGGGGTCTGCCTCCAAGACGAAGGCACAAGCGGGCGGTCAGCGCCTGGGCACACAGCAGTTTTCCAGACCCGGGGTCGGGGCAGCAGGAAGGACCCGGGGGATGGCGACATCTGAAACTGAGCTCGTCCTATGCACCCCCCTGCAGAGGCCCCCATCCTAGTCTGGGTTCTCGGTGGGCTGGGAGGGGCAGCAAGCAGGCAGGGCAGGTCGGCTGGGCTGGGAGCCCCAGCAGCCCCTTCCTCAGGAGCGGCGCACACTCATGCACATGCACAAACACGACCCACGCCAGCATGCACACCTTCCCCAGCCAGCTTTCCCGGGCCGGGCCGGGGTGGGGGGGCGTTCTCCGACTCCCCCTTGCTTCCCCAACCCAGCAGGGAAGGAACCCCCCAAACGTGGGCTGTGGAGGCCTCCAGCTGAACGGGGAAGGCCCCAGAGCCCCTGGCCCTCCTTCTCCCCCTTTAGCCTGGTCCCACAGTACACCACTCTTGGCTCCAGGTCCTGCCAACAGGACATCGAGGGTGGGGGGTGGGGGGAAGAAAGCCCTGCTGCTAGGACAGAGCTCAGGCCGGTGAGGAGGGGGAGCTGAGGGGAACGGAGGCGTGTTTGGTTTCAGATCCCAGGGCCTGAGGCTGCCTAGGCGTGGGGGCGAGGTGATATAAAGGGGTTACATGGGGCCCTCAAAGGAAGGGGGATTTGGGTGTCCTCCTTCTTCCCAGGGCACTGACCCTGCAGCCAGGGGTGGTCACACCTGTGACTTCTGCCCTTTGAGTGGCCAGGATCCCCGGGGGTAGAAGGCAAGCCGGGAAGTAATGGGCAGATGGGGCAGGCCAGGGTACCTCGGACCCGTTGCCAGAGGGATCATCATGAGGGGCACCAAGCAGAGAAGGGGTAGTCTCGACCCCACTCTCCTCCAGGCCCCTCCAGGCCCCCTCCAGGCCCCGTGGCTGCCTTGGGCTCTGTGGAGACGGGCCCCCTCCCCTCCCTGCTCAAACCCATGATAGGGTGGGGTGGGGTGGGGGTGCTTGCAAGCCCAGGAAACATCCTGAGCCCAGCCCAGCAGCATCTGTAAACATACACAGCACTGCGGGCCATCTTGGTGTGGGGTCACCCCAGGGGGCTGGCCAGCAGGCACCAGATCTGGGGGGTGGCCAGGGCAGATGCCAGCCTGGACCACAGATATGAGTATGTGGGGAGAGAGCCGCTCTCCATCTCGGCCCCGGGAGAGCAGCCGGAGGGCAGTGATGGGGAGTTGCCAGACCCACGGGCCCCGTCCTGTGGGGCACAGTGAGGCTGGGAGGGCGGAGTTCTGCCCTGCCCACCTGACCGGCTGCCCCAGGCTCCTCCCTGCTTCACACTCCTCCCCCATCTAGAGGACCTGGATCCTGCCCCGCCCCGGTGGCCCTAAGCTGAGGTAGGGCTGCAGACCCCCAGCTCAGCAGCAGTGCCCCATGCCTGAGGCTAAACTGGCCCCTGCGGGGGCGGGGGGGGCTCTCCTTAAAGCGGCCCGGCCCTGGGGGCAGCCACCAGGAGCCCGAGGGGCCACCTGCTCTCCCCCCTCCCCCCCGCCCGGGCCTCAGCCGGCAGTCACTCCTGGGGTGCTAGCGCGCCGAGATGACCAGGTCGTCCTGCTTGGCGGGGCTGGCCCCGTGGCCGGTGGGGGTAGAAGTCCGGATCTTGTCCACTGCCAGGCACTCCTGGCTGCTGAGACCCGTGGGTGTCAGGTCCATGAGCTCGCCCGAGGAGCTGAGCGGGAAGGAGGGCGAGAGCGAGATGCCCGAGGAGGGGTCCGCTGAGCCGGCGAAGCGCCTCGGGGGCTTGGGCACCAGGTTGGGCTCAAACTGGGCGCGGAGCAGGATCTCTTGCTGGCTGGGGGACTTGGGGCCCTCGGCATAGTCGCTGGTGGGGCTCTCGGGCACCACCATGCAGTAGAGGTCCTGGAAGGAGCTGCTCTTACTGTCGAGGTTGAAGAGGCTGTCGATGAACTCCGCGAACTCCAGCACCTGAGGGCTGGGCGAGTCCCCCAGGCGCCCGTTGTGCAGGGCCAGCTCTCCCCCGGGGGCCACCCCGCCTCCGCCACCGCCGCCCTCCTCCTCGTCCTCGGTGGCCGCCGCACTGGGGGGCCGCTCGGGGGTGATGCCCCCACTGCCCAGGGCCGCCTCCAGGGGCTGCGTGTCCTGGGAGTGCTTGGACAGGCTGTCGGCCCCCAGCAGCTCGGTGCGCGAGCTCAGGGACGGGTTCTCCTCGGGGATGGCGGGGTCGATGTAGAAGAGGTGGCCCTCGTCCCGCTCCAGCACGGCGTGGAGGCTGGGTGAGCCCCGGATGCTGCGGAAGCCCGACGAGCGGCGGGAGTCGAAGCTGTAGAGGGACTCGGTGTCGGACAGGCTCTCCATGGTGGCCAGGGGCGCCCGCCGGGCCTGCAGCTCGGCCGCCAACCGCTCCTGGGTGGAAAGCAGCAGCAGCTCCACGGGGTCCTGGCGGGCCGCTGCCACTGCCGCCGCCGCGGGCGTCAGCAGCCGCCCCTCTGAAAAGCCCTCCAGGCTCATCTCAGACTGGGACTTGCTCCTACAGAGGGCAGGGCAGGGGGGCGCGAGACTCAGGAGGGGCAGGGACACCGGGGTGGGGGGGGCTCCCCCTCCTGGGCTGCAGGGAACTTGGGGAAGGGGGGAGGGGAGAGTTAATTTAGCGGTTGCTCAACAGTGTGGGGCAGGGAGGCTTATTTTGAAAAAACAACTCACAAGAACCCAAGACAGAAGGCAAAAGGGGCAGATGTTGTGGGTGGGGGCACTGAAGGCCTAAGGCCCCGCTGGGAGCCCTGGGGTGCCCAGAGCGCTGCCCCAGTCACTCATGAGGCAATGGTGGGAGGGGAGAGCAGGGAGGGGGAGGGAGAAAGGGAGAGAGCACTGCCCAGAGCTGCCCCCACTGGTTCTCGCACCCTCAGGGCCAGTGCCCCTTCTGCATGGGGGGCGGCGGCGGCCGGGATCACACACTGGGGTTCCTCCCCCCCTCTGCCATGGGTTAGACCCTCTGCTGGACGGACAGGGGAGAGGCGGGAGCTGGGGGGAGAGGGGGCCCAGCAGTTCCTCCGCGCAGATGTGGTCAATGCAGCGGCCACAGGAAATGCACAAATGGTGGGGAGAGATGTCCAGGTGTCCCCACCAAGGGCCTGGAAGCGGCGACCACCCTTCCGAGCAGCCTCCTGGCCAGATCTGTGACCTGGCCCGGAAGGGTCCCAGAGAGGCAGGAAGATTCCTCCCCCGCAAAAGGAGCCACCCTTGCAGAGCCAACCCCTGTAAGAGTGTGTGTGAATACTGAGTGTGTGCAGGACTGGGGGCACGCATGCAAGGCCCTGTTATGTGTGCAGTGTGCCTACCAGGCTGTCTGCACGTGTCTACGTGTCCGGACACAGGTGCGTTCACACACTCACGTGCACGGGGGCCCATCCTCACAGCCCTTTTGTATGTGCGGCTCGGCCTCTGTCTTGTTGTGCACCCTGTACAGGAGTATGTCTGTGTGGGGCCCTCCGTGCACTTAGAGCTACTGCTCGAGAGCACGTATGTGTACGCGCTACGAATACCTGTGTGCGTGTGTGTAAGCGCACGGGTCTCCATCTGTGTGGGCTAAACGGCTCTCAGTGAATCTATGTGCTTGTGGCCCCGGGTTTGTGCATCCCTAGGTGACCACCATCCCACATGGGCTTTAGTGATGGCAAGCTAGGGGGCCAGGGGAGCAGGCCAGGAGATCCTGGGCAGAGGGGCAAGTTCGAGCCTTCTGCGCAAGTGTGCAGAGCTTCGTGAACACCCGGAGGCCCAGTGCGTGCACGGGACACACACGTGCACAAGCATTCACGCTCCGGAACGCGCCTGTGGCGCCGCACGTACCCAACGCGGCGGGTTGGGGCTGCGCGGGCAGGACTCACCTGACGCTATTCCGGTGGTCCGCGGCGGGCAGCTCCAGGGCGAGGCCAGTGGGCATGGGTGGCCCCGTTGGCAGCGGCTGCTGTTGGAAGATGAGCTCGGGAGTCAGGTCCACCTCAGTGGGGCTCACCATGACCTTAGCAGCAGAGAGCAGGGCCGTCTTGCCCTTGTTGTAGTTCTCCAGCACCTGGGGACAGGTCGGGCAAGCTGGTGGCGGTGGTGGAGGGGTGACAATCACATGTGGGGGCGGGGCAGCAGGCCAAGCCTCTCAGGCCAGAGCCTCATGGGGTCGGCCGGGCCCCACTCCTGCCCCCCACCTCCAGCCCAGGTCCCTGCTCCACCAGCACGGCCTGGGACTGGCCCTGCAATCATGCCTTGTCCTGCAGATGAACCAAGTTGACGTTCTCCTTCCCTATGGGCAGGCTTTCTGTGGCCAGGTGATGGCTGAGGGTGCCCCTGCTCGGCTGTGCATCTGTCATAGGCCAGGTCCCTGGGAGTCTCCCAGACCCCTCCCCGCCATGGGGCCCACATAGCGATGTGGACAGCAGAGGTGTGGGGACCAAAAGACGAGTTCTGGCTCACTTCTCTGAGCGTCCACACCCTCGCCTGTCCTACGGGGACGGAGACCCGGCCAACAGGGCACTGCAGGCTCTGATGAGGCGTCACCGCCCAGGCTGCTCCGGGGGCTCACCTTGTTGAGCCCCTCCATGACCACATAGGGGAGGTGCTCATGCAGCATGGCCGGCGAGATGATCACTTCGTTGAAGGCCTTGTTGTCGCCCCAGATGGCAAAGTACGTGGGCTCCTCCTGCTCACAGCAGCTGGGGGGGCATAGGGGCCGGAGGGGAAGATGAGGGTGGGTGGCAGCCTGGCTCCGGTCCCCAGGTCCCTGGGCTCCCTGCTCCGGCCTCACCCGAAGCCCTTACCCGCCCCCTCCCCTGGCCAGGAACGTTGATGCCAAATGGGCCTAAGCCACAGTCCCTACATAGCCTACTACCTGCTCGTGGCCTGGGCCATACCTGCTCGGCCCTGGGCAAGGCCCGGCTCACAAGCCTTTTGTCACTGGGACAGAGGGTTGGGGCCCCACCCTCTGAAAGAGCACGAAGTGGGAGAAGTCTATGTACTGCGGGCCCACTCATCTCTCCCACCCCCACCCCACCCCTGCTCACAACTGCTGCCCACTAATTCCAGAGGGGATGCCACACAACTGAGATGGGAGCTGGCCAGGGCCTCAGGGTGACCCCCCCAGGGCATCCGCTTTTAAATGGACCATCAGCAGGGAGAGCTACCCTGGGGGACACCAGGGAAGGCCTGGCACTGGGAACAAAGGCTGGGACCGTCCAGAGAGGAGCCTGGGCTCCTGCTCTGGTCTTTTGTTCTACTTCCACGGCCTAAGGATAGTGCAACCCTGCCATGAGCGTCCTGGGCAATCCTCTCCCTGCCTCTGCCCACAGTCCCAGGGCGGCGGCTAAGCAGGGCCAGCCCCATCCCCCACGCCCCTGGGCACTGCCGCCTCCCAGCTGACCCAGGGTCGCAGGCAGCACCTACCAGCACTGCTCTGCTGGGTGGTTGTGGACCACATGGATGATGCGGCCGGGTGGGTAGAGAGGGGTGCTGGCAGACAGGGCGATGGTCAGGTCGCTGGGGTGGGTCCAGAGCCGTGTGCTGGCAAGGGTGGCCACCTCGACCTCCTCAGGCAGCTCCGACTTGGGGATACATTTGGTGGCCCCCACGATAATTCGCCACTGTGCAGGGTCGGGGGGGAGATGGGGACAGAGCTGACCAGGGCTGGCTGGTGGGCAGCGGCAGGAGGGGCCTCAGAAGGGGGCTCAGAGGTGACAGGTGGGAGCTGGGATGGCCACGGGGCAGAGGGAAGAACAGTGCCCACCTGAAGAGGCAGTGGCTGAGGCATACGGTGGCCACAATGGCCAAAAAGATGCCAAGGACAGATGACATGACTGTTGAATTTCAGGGCTAGAAAGGGGCTGGAAGACCAGTCAACTCCTCATCTAGAGGATGGGGAAAACAGCCCAGCAAAGGAAGGGACTTGCTCTGGGTCATGTCCCGCGTCAGAGACAGAGCAGACACCGGAGTTCAGTCCAGCTGCATCTACGAGGCCTGGACACGTCTGGGTTGACCCCAGCCACCTGACGAGCACGCAGGCCTGGGTCCGATAGGAGCAGTTCTGCCTCCCAGAACCGGGCTCCTCCAGGCAGACATGGCGCCCTAAGGCTCTGCTGCCCTGCCCACCTCTGCCACCTGGTGCCTGGCCCAGGGCCCTGCCTGCCAGAAGGTCATGGGCACCAAGGCTGGGAACAGTCCAAACTGGGCAGAGATGATGAGTGGGGTGGGGCCGGGGGTCAGAGAAGACATGCTGGTCCGGGTTGGCCCCTTCCTGCCTGCCTCGGGGTACCTGGCCATGGCACCCACGCCTGCCTGGCACGCTGAGGCCGGCTCGGCACAGGAAGAGCCCCCAGTGTGCTCGGAGACCTGATGAGGGATGAGGCAGGGCTGAGCCTCTCCTTAGCCCCAGTGGAGCATCAGAACAAACTGCACCCAGAGCCCCTCCGGCGGTGGCATCAGGACTCGGTGGAGTCTGGGGAACCGCAGCGGGCTCGGCAGAGGCCTTCCTGTCACGAACTCGAAGCACTTCGAGTTTGAGCCTTGGGCCTGCTTTTTCCTGACTTTAGGCAGCTCTGGGTGACAGGGCTGGCACTCAGGAGCCCCTGGTCCCAGTCCTGACAGCGTGTGTGAGCAAAAGCAAGTCCCTTACCCACTCTGGGCCTCGGTTTCCCCCCTCTGTGCAAGGACAGGTCATAGGGGAGACAAGATGAGTGTGGAGGTGCTGAGAGTTTGACGGCCTGGTGTTCCCGTGACATCAGCCACATCGAGCCTGGCCTCACATTGCTGGGCCCTCTTGTGCTTTGTGCAAGCCCAGCATGCCAAGCGGGGGAGGGGGAGAACTCACTTTGGGCTTGGTGCTTCGCTGTAGGACGTCTAGGAGCTGTCTGCGGAAGCCTTCCAGCTGGGAGAGGCCGATCCTGGGGAAGGAAGCAAGCCGGATGTCAGCCTGGCCGGGCCAGGGACTGGGAGGGGTGTGGGGTGTGGGGGCAGAGGGGCAGGCCCGCCCACGGCAGCCACAGAAAGGAGAAGACCACGCCGTCGGTATCATGGGGTGGGAGGGGTGGGCAGGGGTGAGTCTGCAGCTCAGCAGGGCCTAGCCAGGGAAGGGAGGTCAGGCAGGGTGGGACCACCTGTCCTCTCACCCTGGGGACTCTGGGGGGGCTCTGGGATTCCCCGGGGAGATGGGAATCTGAGGGAGAGGCCCCAAGGGGGCAGGAATAGCTGGCCAGGATGGTGGTGAGAGGGAGCGACTTGTGACTTGCACCTCACCTGGGGACAAGATCTTTGCCCAGAACCACGGCCGTCACAAATTCCTTGGAGTACTCCATGGCGTCCTCACTGCAAAGGAAGCCAGGGGTTGCTAAGGCAGGGGTGGTGAGGGGGCCCTGCTCCAGCATTCCTGGGGTTCGTGTTTTGGTTCAAGGCCCTGCAGGGAGCTCACAGGTGCCAGGCTGGGCTGCCTGCTCCTGGTTGCACCCTTCCTGCCCGTGAGGCTTTGCGGGGCGCAGATCCTAGGGTCTGCCTGGCATTTGACAGAGCACCTCTCCCTCCACTTACCAGGCCATTCCCAGGCCCCCATGTGACCAGAAGCCAGACTGCCCAGGCCAGCTCCTAGGCCTTTAGCCCCCATCAACCCCAGGCAGCTCAGGCCCCAGGCTGCTCACCTCAGCAGGCCTCCTGGTGGGGAGTAGGCAAAGCACTTGAGGGTAGGGTACTGGGGGCGCAGCAGGAAGGAGAGAATGGCGGCGGTGCCGGCACCCAGGGAGTGGCCCACCACAATCAGGCCGTAGTGTTTTGTTCCTCGGCCCTGAAAACCAAGAGAAGTCTGAGAGCCCTGCCCCACGGATTGTCCGGACTATAGCTGATACCAGGCAGGCAGAGGGGTCTTCCCAGAGTCCTGACACGGGGTCTGTGCTGCGTGGTCACTGTGGCAGCAGAAGAGCCAAGCTAGACTCGCACAGAGCAACTTCCTAGGGAGACTCTTCTGATAAACTCCTACTCACCTTTCAAAACCTTGTTCAGAGTACCTCCTTGGAGAAGCCCCTCCTGATTTTCCGGGAGAGGCTTACTCCCTCCTAGACCCTGCATCTACACGCATGGAAGACCTTTACATATGGTAATTACACTCTACTGTAATAGCGTACGTTCTACGGAGATTATCTTCTAGAATAATCATTCATTCACCTGCCCGTTTCTGTGTCCCAGCTACTAGACTGGGGTCTCCTGAGGCCAGGGACTGCTTGGCTTTGGGAAGGGCGGTTGCAGCACCTTGGGGGCTGCCTGTCCGGGGAGCAGGGGATGGGTAGGATCTGGATTGCCCCAACCAGAGCAACACCCTTCCTATGGGCTCTGTAATTATTTTTCTTTGTGGCCTGCTCTATATTTTGAAGCCCCTGCCCAGAACCATCTTTGCGCCCCCAGTGCTTGGCATGGAGCAGGTGCTCATAACTGGGGGTGCTGGGCAGGGAGGCCCAAGAAATGCTGGTACGAGAGAGGAAGGGGTCAGAGGCGGGGGAGGGACTGAGCAAGTGAGGAGGGGGCTGGGAGTCAGGCATCAAAGGGGAGTGTAGGAGCCTGGCTTGTGCGGGGTGGGGGGGCTCCACCATGCACGCACCCTGCCCCCAGGGCTGTTTTGGGGGAGGCAGAGCCAGCATGGCCAGGGCTCAGTGCCAGGGAAAATGCCTCACCAGGTCTCGCCCAAAGGCCTGGGACAGGACCATCTCCTGCTCCAGCTTCTTCTTGATGTACTCAGCCGAGAGGACCATTCCCTGGGCAAGGAGGGACAGAGGTGGGTGTCACGGGGAGGGAGGTCTTTTATCTTTTTTTTTTTAAAGATTTTTTTTTTGAGAGAGAGAGAGAGAGCATGCAGGGAGCAGGGGCAGAAGGAGAGGGAGAGAGAGTCTTAAGCAGACTCTGTACCGAGTGTAGAGCTGGACACAGGGCTTGGTCTCACGACCCTGAGATCATGACTTGAGCTGAAACTAAGGATCAGACGCTTGGGTGCGCCTGGGTGGCTCAGTCAGTTAAGCGTCTGCCTTCGGCTCAGGTCATGATCCCGGGGTCCTGGGATCGAGCCCCGCATCGGGCTCCCTGCTCAGGGGGGAGGCTGCTTCTCCCTCTCCCTCTGCCCCTCCCCCTGCTCATGTGCGCGCTCTCTCTTTCTCGCTCTCTCAAATAAATAAAATCTTAAAAAAAAAAAAAAGATTAAAAAAAAAAAAACCCAAAAGAATCAGACGCTTAACTGGCTGTACCGCCTAGGCGCCCCGGGAGGGAGGTCTTTCAGAGACCAGCAAAGCCATGACTGGAATTTCACCAATCCCGTCCCAACCATTTCCCCTTTGGCCCTCCTAACAACCTGGCTGTGGGGGCTGGTGGACACTTTATCACATCATTTCCATTTCACAGATGACAAAACTGAGGCTCAGAAGAGTTGTGTGTCTCACAGAAACCAATCTCTTCCCAGCTGCCTCTTCAGGCTCTTCTGGGGCAGGATCTGGGCCAGGCAGGACTGCGGGGGTCCCGGTGGGTGGGCCACAGTGGATCTTCTAGATGAATCCATGCTCCTCTGACCCATCTCTCCCTGGGGGCCCAGCAAGCAGGGAGGACCCCCCACCGCAACAGCAGGACAGGTGTGTGTGCTGGCAAGGGAGGAGAGGAGGCAAGGGGCCTCGGGGGCCGGGAAGGAGCAGTACCTTGTGCCCCAGCCAGGTGCCGTGGTGCCCCTCCACGGGGAGGCGCTCGGCGTCACCGGTCAGGTCTGTCAGGGCATCCTTGTGGAGAGAGAGGACAGGTGAGGGCTGGGGTGAGGACAGGAAGGGGGAGGCGGGCACCCCTCAGAGGCCGTGAGGGGTGGGCTGGGAGCCACACGGGGCATACCTTGGGGGAAAGGGTTCCCCGGATACTGATCACCACCTTCTTCTTGTCGTGGTCCACTGCCACATAGAAGGGGGTCTCATAGACCTAGGATAAGGGGGGCTCATGAGCCAAGTGGCCCTGGGATGGGGCCAGACTCGGGGAGCGACCTACGCAGGTCTCCTGACCAAGGAACCAGCTGCCTGGGCCCCCGCAAGGCCGCCGGGGCTCCCTGTAGGCTTCCCTCCAGCTCAGGCTGCCTGAGAGCCGCTGTCCTGCCTACGGAGTCTACAGGGGCCGCTGCCCTCTCCCCAGGGCCTCGCTGCTGAGTCCCCCATCCCCTCCCCCACAGCGCTGCGCCGAGAAGGCCCAGGGCTGGGTGCGGGGTCGGGGAGCACTCCCTAGCCCCAGAGGGGGTGCGGGCCCGGCCGTGGGTGGGGGGACGGGGTAGGCTGGGGGTTGGGGGGCGCTGCACACGGGCCCGGCGTGGCCGCTCACCGCGTCGTGGCAGGAGGTGTACACGATGTCCACCGCGGTCATGTTCTCGTCCAGGAAGTGGCGCCGGATGGCGATAGCGTTGCAGCCGCAGCAGTTGTCCTCCTCGATGGTGACTCCTGGGGCGAAGCGGGGCCGCGCGGGGCACAGGCAGCACCTGGCAGAGGGGCGGGGGCTCAGAGACCCCGAGAGCACCTGTCCCTGCCAGCCTCTCTGGAACCCCCCTCGAACGGTCCCATAGCCCTCACCCTACTCGGCCTCCTGGCGGCAGGGGACCCGGGGGGCCTCTCCCGCTCCCCACAACGCTCCCCCCGCCTCACCCCTCCATCGCTCCTCCCTCACTGGCGGCCTCCCTGGGCCCATCCTCTGCCATAGCTGCGCCCTTCTCTTCTTGCTAGCTCCTCACCCGTCTCCGGCCTCTGAGCGACCGAACCGCCTGACCTGCTCCAGGCCCCCAGATGCCCCCCTCCCACCTCCCCAGGCCCTGCTGGCCCGCCCCTGTGTGCTCCCTGAGTCCCCCTGCATTGCCCAGCGCCATCCTTGGAGCTGGCTTCACGTCCCCTCCCCACCTCACGTCCCACAGCCCATCGGTCGCTCGGCACATCGGCTCACCCTGCCTTCAACTTTGGAACGGACTCCAACCACTTTCCCTCGCGCCCACCCCTGCCACCATCATCTCTGCCTCGGAGCGTCATGGTGGCCTCCTGATGGGCCTCCCTCATCTACTCTTGCCCTCGATGTTCTCCATCGGCAGCCAGAGCGACCCCCTAAGACCTAAGTCGAGCCATGTCGCTTCACTCGAAACCCGACAGTGGTGCCCTTCCTGTCCAGTGTAAGAGCCAGAGTCCTTGCGAGGGTCACCGGCGCTGCCCCATCTGGCCCTGTTCCCTGGCTTGCCGCCTCCGACCTCCCTCGGGCCCCACTGGCCCTCCTGCCCACCCTCGGATGCACTGGCCAGACTGCCAGACAGGACTCCTCACTTCCTACGGGCCTCTGCTCAAGTGTTTGTCATGGTGAGGTCCACCTTGGACACCCCCTCTAGCCCAGCCAGCCCCCTGCCAGTGTTCCCTGGCTGGACAACACCCCGCCTTTATTTCTCTCCCAAGCGTGCCTCTGGTCCTGGAGGCTCTGCGCCCTTCTCTGTGTACTGTCTGCCTCTCCCCCCGGCAACGGCTCCCCAGGGCCGGGGCTGCTCTGCCCCATGTGCAGCCACGTGCCCAGCACCAGACACACAGAGGCATCCCCCAAATGAACAGCTGAGCATCTGAGGGCCCCCCCCCGCCGCGGCTGCTCGGGGTGCAGCGGCTCCTCAGGCCGCCAGAGGGAGCCAGCAGCCAACAGATGGGGCCCTGGAGCCGTGAGCCAGAACACCAGGCCTCATGGGCTCCCTGTCTCGAGAGGACAGCTGAGATTTTATGAAGAGTCCTGAATTTCGGGGATGCTGAGCGGTTTGTCCTCACCCAAGCAGCGCCTAAGGGACTGTTACCTACTTCCCAATGAGGAGAGGCCTCGCTGGGAAAACTCAGGGTCCAGCCAAGTCTGGGAAGCCATGGGGCCTGCAGTGGGCGACCACTTCAAGGCACGTGGGGGGAGCCCTCCCCGACTGCAGGGCCAAGTGGGGGCCGACCCAGGTCTGGGGTCCAGACTCCTGTTCCCAGGCAGCTGCCTCCTCTCCGTAGCCTTAGCCAGCATGTGGCCGCCACAGTGTGGCCTTCAGGGACAGACACCTGGGCTTTCTCCTCGCAGCCCCGAGAAGCTGACAAAGCAGCATCCCTCCTGTCTGCAGATCCCCCCGAGGGCCCAGCCTGCCAGCGACTCCCTGGCTTCTCAAATACCCCATGGGCAGGCTGGACAGGCATTGCCTGCACTGGCGGTGTCCTCACCCTGCCAGTGAGTAACGGAGCAGAGCCCGTCAGAGCTCAGGGCTCGAGGCTCCTGGTCTCGTGCGCATTTGGAGAAGCTTCTCAGCAGTGGCAGGGACTCCCAAGGATGCTGGGAGGACCGCCAGCTGTGGGAGGGGGCATGGGGTGCCTGGTCCACTCACTCGGTGAGTCACTGGAGGATGGGAGAACAGGGAGGGTCCCAAGGGCTACCCATCCTTCTGCAGAAAGGAAGGGCAGCGCAGGAGGAGTGTGGCTGCCCCAAGGGCAGGGGTGTCACAGACAGAAGGTCAGCCTTTCCAGACGAGGGAGCCAGGGGCCAGGGACCTGTCCTCCTTCTGTCTTGGCCAGGCTGAGGGTGGAGACACCAACGGAGAAGGGCCCCTCCTGGAGCTGTGCCCTTCTCTGGCCCAGTTAGGAAAGCAGAGTCCACCCGGCGCCCAGGGGTGACTTGTGGGCAGGTTTGGGCAGGTGTTTGCCCAATCCCTGTGAAGAGGGTCAAAGTCTTTCACTAAAGGGCCTTCTTGACACCTTTCCAGAGGCCTCCACAGACTGGGCCTCTACTAGGAAAGTCCTTTCTTCCAGAAAGGCAGAGCACAGGACAGGAGCAGGAGAAGAAAGACATAGGCAAAGGGGAGCGGAGTGGTCGAGTGGGGCAGAGAGGGGCGGGAGGGGAAGGGAGCCAGCAGGGTCCGATGCTGGGCAACCCTCACTCGATCCTCTCAAACCAACTCCAGGAGGTAGGTACTGCCATCCCCACTTTACAGATAAGGAAACTGAGCCTTGCGGAGGTAGGCCGACTCGCCCATGGCTGCCTGCGACAACATCTGGATTCAAACCAAATACTGTGTGATTCCAGAGCCCACGCTCTTCCCCGCCTAAGGATAATGCAGACCTAGGGAGGCCGAGGCCCAGAGGCGGTGTGGAAGAGAAGCCACGCAGGCCACAGACCACGGGGGGTGGAGGGGCAGGCACAGTCTGTTCGGGGAGAGTCTCCCACAGGCTGGCCCAGCCTCAGGACCGCTGCTTGCCCACACACGCCGGCCAGCCGGAAGGACAGGACAGGGGTACTCACGAGCAGGACCGCGCCAGGCGGCAGAGGCCGCAGGCCGGCTTCCGCATCAGGTACATGGGCCACCCGTAGGCGGCCAGGGCGAAGAGCATGTAGTAACAGACCTCTCTGTAGCGGAGCATCTCTTGCTGGAAGAAAGCAGGGGGAGGCGGTCACCTCTCACCGTTCCGGCCTACAGCCTCTCGGCCCAAGGGCTCCCCTTGGATGGAGGAGGGAGCGGCCCTCCTGGCCTCCCCAGGGCCCGCAGGCCCACCGTGCTCCTGCCTTGGAGGAAGGACCGCTCCTCCAGATGATAATTGCATTTCCCTAATTATCTCCATGCAACCAGGGCACGAAGCCTCCTGGGGCCTGTCCTGATGCTCCAACCTCCGAATTAATGATTTGGGGACAGAAAACCACTCGGAGCACTGGATCGATTTCCTTGCCTGTTTTCCAGAGAAGGGAAGCGAGGGGGAGGCGTGAGTGGCCATCACCCGCCTCAGCAATCAGGCCTGGGAAGGGAAGTTTAACCCTCAGAGGCCCTGGGCCCTGTCCTCCAGCCGGGGGTGTCCGGGCCTTGAGCAGCAGGGCTGGCCCTGTAGACGCTGGGTGACCTGACAGATCGGCAACACTCTCCCAGCCTGCAAGTTCTTTGTCTGCAAATATGGGGAGACTCCAGTTTGACTGGGCAAGTCACGGGCTCCCCACAGATGTCTGGAGCAGATTGGAATCTCTGCAGAGAAAGGCGCCAGTTTGAAACCCAGAGTCTGAGGCCGGTGGCTATTGTTATTATCAGCCCAGTGGGCTGGAAGGAGACAGGAGACACAGGTGTCCCAGCAAAGCGGCTTCCAGTGTCCCGGGTGTGCCAGGTGCTGGAGGGCTCCTGCACTTAGGGGGAATTAGTCACCTTGTAAAAGTTAAAGAGGGTGATTAGTCATCTTCTGAAGTGAAATAGGTAGCACCTTAATAAGAGCCCAGAGAGGTGGAACCATCCCGGGGCCAGCTCTGTCTGCTCTTTAGGAATGAGCTGGAGAAGGTAATTAACCTCTCTGTGTGTCGGAGCTCGGCTCCGGCTGGAGGGCGGGGCGCTGGCAGGCTCTGCCAAGTGGCAGGCAGGGACGCCAGCACCTCAAGGCTCTGCGGCCCGCCTCAGCCCCCTCCTCACATGGCGGGAGAACCCGGGGCGATCCAGGTAAGCGAGGCCAGGCAGGGCACCTGCTGCGGGCGGGCCATTTTCAGAGGGGATACACGCAGCTACTTTGGGCAGTGGGGACAGATGGAGACTGGAGGCTTTTCTAGGGGATCTAGATACAAGGGAGGAATCCTTTCTAGCAGGTCCCGACTGCGGAACTGGACTCAGAATGACTCATTTCCTCCCCACTAGTGCTCTGGGGGGAAGGTATGCCCAGCATCATTACCCACGCAGGAACGGGCTCAGAAGGGATGGAGGACTTGCTCAAGGTCACAGCGACAGCGGTGGAGCTGAAGTACCCCTAATCGGTTTGCTCCTGAGGCCGCCAGCTGCAGTTTCGGCCCGGGCAGCACAGGGCCCTTGTGGTGGTGAGGGGGCTCCCCTGGCCACAGGACCGGCCCCACCTTTACCTGTGAAACACTGGGGTTCTAGTACAGAGGCCTGAGAAGAGGTTCCATAAGCAGTGCGGTATGTCATGCTGCCTCTTAGGAGAACAGGAGTAGCAACCGTGTAAGCCGCGCACGCCTGGGAAGCACCTTAGGATCTCAAGAGGCCAGGACTGAACATTCTGAGTGTAGTGAAGCTGATTCCAGGGTTTTGACCATGGGACCAGCATGACGGGGGCGGTCCTCAGGAGGAAGGGGTATGAACTGAGGAGGGAGGCTACGTGGAGAGCTGCAGGGGGACCCACAGAGGAGGAGGTGCTGCCCATGCTGTCGGGGCAGTGGGCAGGTGGCCTGCTCAGGCCGCCCCAGCAGAGGGCGAGGGACCCGGGGCAAGGGGTCTGACTCACCGAGTTCTTGAGGTCAAGATACTTGGTGTTTCTGGTCACTGGCATCCCAGACAGGAAGGTCAAAATGTCATTGTTTGCCTGTAAAACCAGGGTGTGAAGGTGGCTGTCCCAGGTCCAGGGGGTATGGCGGAGAAAGGGGGTCCAGCCCCCCAGGCTCTGACTCTGCCTGCTTCCCAAGGGCCTGAACGCCCAAACGAGTGTGTGCTTTCTAGCTCTTCCACGACCCAGCCAGTTTCCCCAAATCGGAGGTCTCCTCACATGTCCATTGCTCCCTTTCCACCAAAAGCACCAAACACCCCCCTGCTGCCCCGGGGACATTCCTGCCCAGGCTGAGGGTAACGCGCTTTGTAGGGAATGCTGGGAGGTCCCAGCTGGGATCGGGGTGCTGGGGGGGGCGGTGGAGGCAAGTGCGGAGGGCCGAGGCACCGAGCATCATTATTCATGAGGGCGGCTGGCCCGGCAGAGGGAAGTCACTCAAGCCAGAGGCAGGAGGGGAGCTGGCATCAGGGGGTGAGCGGAGGGACCCCGGGGAGGGGCCCGGAGGAGGGCGGGTGCTCACCTCGTCCAGCACGGCGTTGCGCTTGGCCCGCTGCCGCTGCCGGAGCAGCACCAGGCCAGCAATGATGTCGGACGGCACGATGTCGAGGTCTCGGAAAAACTCGGCAAAGAGGTAGGCAATTTCTGAGTAGGCGTCCTGTGAGGTCCGGGGGGTGGGTGGGAGGCAGGGGCAGGGGAGCGGGGGAGAAGGTGAGAGATCAGGCATGAATCCCCCGGGGCTGGGGCTCTGCCCCGGGCCCAGGGCCGGCTCGCCCCCGGCACCTGCTTGGCACCAGCCGGGCCCACCCCCCGCCTGGCCCTCTGCAGCCATGACCCCGAGGGCCCTAGCCTGGGCTCTGGACCCCCGCAGACGTGGCCAGAGCTGTCTGCGACAGCCACCGAACCTTGTCCGGCCTCCACCTCCCGGCCCTCTCCTGTCCTCGGAGCTCCTACAGCACTCACCGTCACCGCCTACCACGCACAGATGCCAATGTGAGCCATTTCCCGTTCTTTCCCCAGCCACTAGGAATCAAGGCCTGCTCAGCCCGGCTTGTTTCTCCTCCGCCTTTCTCTCTAGCAGAGAAGCCCAAACTGAGCTCCTGACTGCTGCCTCCCCACACTGAGTTGCTTCCCACCTCTCAGCAGCTGTGACCTGGAAAGGCCTCCTAAGGGCCGAGCCTCGGCGGGGGCAGGCCCCTCTCCCCCACCTGCCCACAGCTGCCGGCTCAGGGACCCTCACAATGGGCCTGGATAAGGGTGTGACGCCGGGCCGGTGGCCCCTCTGGCTTCCCCGCAAGCCTGGTCCTCGGGCCAGCCCGAGCCCAGGGCAGGGGGCAGGAGGTACGCAGCCAAAGGCAGCCCCACCCGTCCCTGAGCCCGGCATCCTCCCTGCCTCGGCCCGCGTGGGAGTCAGGAACCTTTTCCCTAACCTGTTGGGGTGGGGGGGCTATGATGGGAACAAACCCATGGCAAGCGGTTTTCTCTCACTGGATGTTACCCTTGAGTGCCCGGCATTTGTAAGAGAACAAAAATCGGGGGTTGCAAACTCAAAGGCCTAATGAGGCCAAACGGCGCTAGCTACTACTCGGCTCCGGCTGACTGCCCTGCGAGGGGCCCACACTGCCAGACCTAGAAATACGAAACTGTACATGAATGCCCTGCTTCTTCACGTTAGCACTCAATTCAAATTTGAAGCCACCACAGCACAGAGGGATCAAAACGTGCTCTGGGCTGGACCTGATCCCCAGTGTTTGATGGGACCCAGATCCTGGGCCACCCCTCCCCGCAATGCCCTAACATCAGCCCCATGTGCCCAGGAGGGGTGGGTGTGTCCCTCTAGACCCCCCAGAGAGGCCCATGGGGTCGTGATCCCCGCCCACCAGGGAACCTCCGGGGAGTGGGGGGCTTTCTTATACCTGATTACTCACTCTACAGCTCACCAGGGGCTGCTGGAGGGAAGGAGCCACTCAGGCTTCCAGTGGCTTCCATGGAGGGCACTTGCTGTCTGGCTCAGGGAGGAGTGGTCTCCTGACCTCACTGGTTCTGCCACTAACTAGCTGTGGGACGTTGAGCAAGTCACACCACCTCTCTGGGCCTCAGCTGTCTGATCTGAAAAACGAGGGGTGGGGGATGGGGGGACACTAGATGGTCTCTAAGGGCCCTGCCAGCGTGGGGGGTCTGTCTCGAGGACCCCAGGGGCCCTACTTCCCCCCCAGGGGCTGCCCTCCGCTGAGCTGGCCTTGCTTCGGCAGCACCGGGCCCCTCAGGCTGCTCTTCCGAGCACCAGGCCCAGAGGCTGGCTACGGGCGTCTGGGCTCGGCACCTGACAGCTGCGACGGATCTTCCAGAGCCCTTTGCAGCTGGTGACACGCTGCCTTTCTGTGCTTTCAGGTCACCCTGATTTTTTAGTGTCTCCTCTCCTAAACTACTGTACGTTCCAAGGGGCTGGATGAAAGGTCTTGAAACCTTTCCATGCCCGCGACAAAGCCAGGGATTGACCGTTTCACATGCCGGAGGGAGACGGTCAGTCAGTGGATACCAGGTCCTCACCTTGCTCCTGCTTAAAACCCAGGGCCCTTCTGGCAGCCCTGCCCCACCGGCTCTGCCAAGGAGTGGCGGCCCCTCAGTGGCTGGCGGCAGAGTGTGCGCCAGAGGGAAGCGATGTCCTGGTACTTACTGACTGGGAGTCCTTTGTCCGAGTGCAGCACAGGAACACCTTGAGCCGGCGCGACCAGCTGGTGGCCTGACCCTCCTCCAAGCGATGCCTGCAAGGGGACAGAGTTGGTATGTGTGAGGTCAGGGGGCGGGACCAGATGTGATGGGAACAGGGCGGCCTGTTCCCAGGATCCCACCACAGAGCTCTCCAGCAGGGGGTCTAGGAGAGAACAGGCCTGGGCCTGGCCAGGGTCCTCTGGGGGGGCACTGCTGGTCTAAGATGGCCTACGGTTGGCCATGCTCCCAGCTTCTGGCAGACTGAACACCAGCATGCCCAGCGGACTTCAGAGGTGGGAGCGCAAACTGGGGGCCGCTCTGTGGCTCAGGTGTCCAACGGCTCAAACTAAGAACCCTGGGACACTGCAGCAGGGTGCTGGGCCTCTTAGCCAACTCACTGGAGCAGACCTGTTGGACAGACTTGCTTCCCCTTGGAAAGGATTTCAGATACCCAGCACTCTCTGTATTTGGGGGAAATTCAAGGGGCACGTGAGGCTCTGCATCTCCCAACTCCTTGGATCTGTTACATTAGAGGGGGCAAGGGCCCCCACCCTTCATCTGCGTGGCTGGCGCCTGTCCATTCCCACCCCCAGCCCCAGCCCCAATGTGTCTAGCTGCTCTGACAGGGAGTCAGGGTATCCAGGAGGCCACACCCAAGGGCAGAGCACTGGCTGATTATCCACAGAGGCCCTTCCAATGCTGGGTGCCCAGAAATCGGTGTGGTTTTTTGTTTGTTCTGTTTTTAAAGATTTTATTTATTTTTATTTGAGAGAGAGAGTGAGTGAGAGAGCACACGAGCAGGGGCAGAGGGAGAGGGAGAGGGAGAAGCAGACTCCCCTGCTGAGCAGGGAGCCCAATGTGGTGCTCGATCCCAGGACCCTGGGATCATGACCTGAGCTGAAGGCAGACGCTTAACCAACTGAGCCACCCAGGCGCCCCAAAATCGGTGTGTTTTGAGCATAAATTTAAGAGACCCAACATTAAATATGTAAGCTTCCAGACTGAGCAAGAAGAGGCTGGTTTGCTTTCATGACACGTGCCCTCCCCTCCCTCCGGTCCCTGCAGATGCTAATGCTTGGGGGTCAGGAGGGGAAGGCATGGGTGAGCCCGAATGATTGCAAGGCACCTAGCATCCATCAGGAGTGACAGGCCAGGCCCTCCTTCCTGAGCCCTCTGGCTTCCCTCTGCAGCGAAGCGCTGCTTCCTACAGCCCTAGGTCCGTAAGGCAGTGGGCCACAAGGACAGGGAAGGCCACAGGGCTTTCCAGGATGAGGGGAGGGGTTAGGAGAGGGTAAGAAGGATACAAGGGAACTGCTGCTTCTGGAATCTACGAGCTCTAAGGGACTTGGGCAGCCTTATATCATAAAGCCACACCCCCTGCCAGGGGCTTGATAGAGGCGCAGCATGCTGGCCATCCGGGATCCCAGAGCATCACATTCTTTAACCCTTTCTAATCTAATGGGCTTTTAAACATTCAAAGTGTATTTCCTGCTGGGCCTCTGGCTGATCAAGCGCTGACTGTACGCTTTACCGCACTACCCCTTATGCCCACCAGGAGGCAGATGGAGCCAGGGAAAGGTTTGGCCTAATGCATCAGTTAGAGACCAGCCCAGGCAGATTGTGAAGCTGGACAGCAAGTACATGGACGCAGCACCCCTCTGGGAGTGCAGACGCCCCTGCAAAGATCCAAGGTCAAGGCTCCCAGGGAGCAGTGCTGGGAAGAACCCATCTCCCCACCTCTACCAGATTTCATTGGCAGGAGAGAGGACCCGGGGCTTAAACAGCTTCCTGACTTCCAAAGATGCTAAAATAACCTATCAGTGTGGCACGGGGCGGGGCGGGGGGTGGGGGTTTGTGTGCGTCCCCAAACCTGGAAGTGGATGAAGGGCAGACAGGCTTGAAAATGTCCCTGTTAGAAAAACTGTTGGTTTCAGAGCTGAGGGAGGGCCAGTGGAGACCAGCCCGAGAGGTGGTCACATTAACCAAGCTGTAGCCTAGGCTGCCCTCCTGACCCCTGCAAAGAGCTGGAGAAGACGCAACAGGTCAGAGCCCGTGAGCTCTGAGGCCTCTCACTTACCCCCACAGGACCCGAAACTGCAGGAAAACTTTCTAATTAAAACTTCAGCCCCTGACTGCAAAGGCGCTGGCTTCCCTGGGCCCCAAAGGCAATTACCCAGAGTCAGGGAGGGGAGATTTTTTTTCCCAGGGCCCCAGAAGCCTAGAAACCAGGTCAGGTGGGGGCGTATGCTCAGAATGAGCAAAATGGGACGGGTGGTGGTGGCCTGCTACGCCAGGAGGGAGAACAGGCTCCGGGGCCTTGGCTCCAAGACCTGGTATTTTGGGCTGGGAGGTGGCCAGCCCAGGCGCGGGTGTGGCTCTGGCCGATCTGCCGAGCTGACGTGGAGGGCCTGAGAGGAGCTGAAAGCAGAGGCGCAGGAGGGTGGGGTGAGGAGAATTCCCACTGGGCCTGGGGGCCTGGGCAACCTGCTGGCCTGGCCGAGGGCTCCTGACTCCCCTGCCCTGGGGATGGAGTGCCAGATCTGCTCCCCGTCAACATGACCTGCAGCAAGGGACCTGCCCTCTCCAGAACTTGGACTCCTCATCTGTAGAATGGGTCTCCTAAGGGCACCAGGGTCGGCAAAAGGACTGAACGGACTGATGGTAGGAGAGGGCTCATGGCAGGGCCTAAGTCATAGTAGAAGCTCCGTGCCCCCCCCCCAGAAGCCCCCCTCTCCCCCCGCTGATCTTTTTCTTTCACTAAACAGGAATTCCTGTGACCCTGGATTCTCTCATTTTCTTTACCATGGCACAGCATTCCCCTTCCTTCGAAACACCGTGCAAATCTTAGCCCCTCCAGGAAGCCTTCCTTGATTAACCTTCTCCAGGCCCCTTAATCCTAGAGGGAGCCCAGCCTAGTGGTTAAGAGCAAGGGCCCTAGGGGCGCCTGGGTGGCTCAGTGGGTTAGGTGTCTGCCTTCGGTTCAGGTTATGATCCCAGAGTCCTGGGGTCGAGCCCTGCATCAGGCTCCCTGCTCAGTGGGGAGTCTGCTCCTCCCTCTCCTCCCCACTTGTGCTCTCTGTCACTATCTCTGTCTCTCTCTCAAATAAATAAATAAAATCTTTAAAAAAAAAAAAAGAGCAAGGGCCCTAAAGCCAGACCGCCTGGGCAGGAGCCAAGCCCCACCATATTCCACTCGGGCAAGTCCCAGCTGTCTGTGTTGCGGGGATGATGCTAACAGCCCCCTCAAGCAGCCCCACGTGCTTGGCTTGGCTCGGGCGTGCGTCCTGCTGTGATGACCGCATGGTTAACAGCACTGAAGATGGTGCCAATGGTCACGATGGCCGAACTGACTGAGCACGTACCAAACGTGCGAGCAGAGCATCAACCGCTCTGCACTTGTTTTATTGAAATCTCACGGCTGCAGTCTGAGCTGTCACGATTCCCACTTTACAGACCAGGAAACTGAGGCCGGGGGAGGCTAAGACTGTCACCAATGCCCATGGCTCCCACAAGCTGATGTGTGGTTCGGGAGGCACGGGGGCCAGCTCTGCCCACCTGCCCGCAAATCTCCTGGGGGGCTGCCCGCCCACCCGGCCCACTCACCGGAGGTTGTAGGTCCGGAGGTTGCGCTGCCGCCTCTTGGTGGCTCTCAGCTTGACAAAAGTGCGGCCCGTGGGGTCGAAGACGCAGAGGACAGTGATGCAGACACTGAGGATGACCACCCAGTTGCAGACGACCATCCCTGCAGGGCAGCAGTGGGAAGCAAGAGGTGGAGGTACTGGGGGGGGTGTCCTCCCTGGCTCACCTGCTCTGTGGAAAGGGGCCCTGGCGCCTCCCTATCATCATCTGCTTCTGGGGCCCAAGAGCAAGGCTCAGAAGCCCCTGACCCCAGCCTCTGGCCACCTGGTTGCCCCGTGCTGAGCCAGGACCCCAAGGCCCAGCCTGGGAACAGAGCAGGCAGCTCTGGGGGTTTCCAGTGAGGAGCTGAGGGGCCCTCCACTGTTGCCCACCCCTCCACAGCAGGTTGCCCTGAGGGCAGGTGGCCGAGCACGGGAAGAAGCCCACAGCCTCAGCCCCCATCCTGCCCGGTGTCCTCACAGCAACCGTCCCCCTTGGGAGGTGCCTGAGCTGCATCCTCTCTGAAATGACCCCGTCCCGGCCACCCCTGGGGCTGGCTGACATACCGAGGGTGACATTCTTGGCAGTGAGGTCGTTGCAGGAGGTATAGTACTGAGTGAGCCAGACGATGCCCACGATGGCATAGATGAACTCGATCACCAGGATGGCTGCGAGGGGAGCAGGGACCAGGCTGAAGGACGGCCACGGTCTGCCTGCCCGGGAAGGGCTCCGGAGCCTCCACCTGGCCCCTCTGCAGCAGGGGCACCAGACCCCCGCCCACCCCCTCCCCCCGGCACAGGCCTCGTGGCAGGTAGGGCCCAGGGAGCGCGGCTGTCCCACCACCGCTCTGTCTTGCTACGACGCACCCACCACCTGTTCTAGCGTAAGTGTCCTCAGGCCCCCCGACACCTCCCTGAGAGGGTGATCGCAGGGGCGGATGATGAAGAGGCATTTCTCTGTTCTTTCAGGATTTTAGACTTATGTCCATGAACTCTGCTATCAGACGTATCTTAGGCAAGTTACCTAATCTCCCTGGGCCTCCGCTTCCTCATCTGTAAAATGGGGTGACAACGTCTGCGTTACAGGACTGCGGAGAATTAGATGAGAGAGGGTTCATCTCACGGAGACTGCTATTTCCCAGAAGGAGGCTCCAGCACTCAGGGCAGGAGGAGGGAGGGGCCCCCGCAGGCAGCAGCTGCTGCTCAGGCCAGGGGGCTGGGGGCACGGGAAAGCCTTAGAGGACCCAGCTCCAGAGGCAGTGCCTGAGGCAGCTTAGAGGCCGGGCTTTGGAGACAGACAAGCTGGGTTCAAATCTCAGCTCTCTCTCTCTCTCTCTCTCTCTCTCACACACACACACACACACACACACACACACACACTCTAGCCATGTGACCCTGAGGGAGCTAATTAACCTCCCCGGGGAGGGGGGCCCCCAGATTCCTCATCTGTAAAGGGAGACCAATAATGGCTCCTCCCGCAGCTAACAAGGGGAAGGGCTTAGCACAGCTCCTGGAAGCATGCTTGAGAAAGATGGGGAGGAGTGGTTGGAACCCAAGCCGGGAAAGAAGACAGAGGCGGGCCCTCCAGGGAGCTGATCCGGACCCCTCAGGGGCTTCCTGGGAAGGGGGGCTCTCTTTGGGGGAGGATTTCAAAGTAGCAGAAGCTAGAGGTGCTTGGCCTAGAACAGGGGCCAACAAACTTCCCCTGTAAGGGCAGAGTAAATATTGTAGACTTCGCAGGTCATCTTCTCTGTCCTGACTACTCAGCTCTGCCGCACTGCGCACGAGCAGCCAGAGACAGTGAGTACATCAGTGAAATGAGTGTGGCTGGGTTCCAATAAAACTTTATTTACAAAGACAGACGGCAGGCTGGATGTGGCCCTTGGGCTGCAATCTGCCCACCCCCGGTCTAGAACGCAAGCCCAGTAAGTCTGCTGGTTCGCGGCTGGACACTGGTGCTGGCCCAGGGTCTGGCCCATCGCATGTGCCCCACAAATGCTGGCCGACTCAATGATGGAGCCCAGGGAGGAGGGTGGAGGTGGGGGTGGTCTGGAGCAGCCCCCACCCACGGCGGGTGGCCCTTACCCAGGCGCACGTAGAGCACGTACTGCATGGATTCGCGGGGCTCCGTGTAGAGGATGCCCCCGCGCATGCTCAGCCAGATGATGGCCATCTCGGCGATCATGCAGCTCAGCAGGATGCCCAGGTAGCCGCGGCCGTGGTCCACCAGGTTGAGGGAGCAGGCCTCGTTTGGGTTGTAGACCAGGCCGAAGAGCACCACAGACAGGATCACAAACCTGCAGAGAGGCACCCGTGAGAGGGGGCCGGGCAGTCTGGACACCTCCCACGGACCCTGGCCAGCCGGGGCTCAGCAGCTAGAGGGCTTCACTGCTTCGGGCTCAGGACCACTGTCCACCTAGCAGCCAGTGCCTCTGAGGACAGGGGCGGCCGGGGACAGGGAAGCGAGAGCAGGGAGCCCAGCTGCTGGCCGTGGGCGGGGAGCGGTGGCAGCCCTGCCCGGTGATGGCGCTGGGTCCAGTGGTGGCCAGGCAGGGTCTCCGGGCTCCACGTGGGCATCTCCCTGAGTGGTGGGTGCTCCAGACACCAACAACTCCTAGGAGCCGGGAGCATGACAGGGTCGGGACGGACGGCCAGAAAGCCTTCTCCCAGGCCTGTGGCACGGCCCTAAGACTCACCAGGTGGTGTGCAGGAGGAAGAGGAAGATGGCCGGCAGGACAAGGTCGTCACTGCCCACAGACCAGCGCCGCCGGAACACCACAATCCCGGGCATGGCTGGCAGCTCGGCGGAGGCTCAGCGGGCCTGCTGCTCACCTCCTGAAAGACAGCGGAGGACCCTGTGGGCTGCCTGGGCCGCTGCGGCGCCCAGGGCCACCACACTCCTGGCCAGGTGTGCACAGCACACCAGCATCTCTCCCAGGCCCCACGGCCCAGATGCTTCCAGGCCATTGGAAATGCTGACCCATGCCTGGGCAGGATCCACCTCCAGCCCTATCCACCCTCTGCAGCCAGGGACAGGCTGCGGCCTTCCCCCTGAGGATTCTCTTGTCCCCAAGACTGGCACCAGCCCTTTGGAATTGGCTCTCCCTAGGGTTACTGCAATAGTAACTGATCACTTCCATTAAAGACCTGGGCTCGCCCCTGCCTCCCCCTACATGGGATGAGGGGAGCCCCAGCTCTCCTGCTGCCTTTTCTCAAGGAGACCTGGACCAGTGCATGTAGTCCTTGGGGGTGGGGTGGGGGCTTCCCAGACCAAGTACAAGCCTGTCCCTCAGCACAAACCAAACAAGACAGGTAGAAGGCTGAAGACCTTGGGGAGGGGGGGAAGGGCATGCATGGATCTAGCAAGTATGGAGGCAGGAGAGCACCCAGCACATAGCAGGTGCTCAGTAAAGATGTGTTGAATGAGGTCTTCAGTTTCTCGCTTTGCTGGACCCCCGGGAGTACGCTCTATGCCTCAATTTCACACTCACCAGAGTGCCCAACCACAGCTATGCCTCTTGGTAGGGAGGGACAGAGCTGGGATCTGGGGTCAGGGGCGTGACTAGGGCCACCCAGCCCCTCTGCTAGAAGGGCGGTGAGTGAGTCCTGCAGGGCATCCCATCCTCCTGGCAACCACACCTCCCATGCCCACCCTGAGCCATGCAGCCTCTGCTGCCTGGTTGAAAACTCTCTGAAGCTGAATTCAGATCAGCCACAGGCAAGCTCAGGGAGGAGGGCCCAGGAATCCAGGGCCCCCACGCCCTAGAGACCTAGGAGCAAGGGGAGCGCTGCAGGCCAGGAGGCTCCCCACACGGTCGGGGGGGGGGGTTGGTCTGGGAGATACTGGTGAGAGGCTCCAGGGTAGCCCTGCGCTGAACGGTGCAGAGGAACCCCTGCAGTGGGGGTGGATGCCCCGCTGCTGGGCAGCTGCCCCCAGGCCCAGAGGCTTACATGGCACCTGGTTCAGAGGCGGGCGGCAAGTCCTCCTCTCCCCGGTGATGGCTCCGGGGAAAGCGAGTGTCCTCGGAGACCAGCATCACTCGGGAAGCAAGTGGCCAAGTATCCCCTGGCCGGTGGGCACGGCGCTCAGGTTGGACGAGGGGCCATGGGGCCGGGTGGCCAGCCGGCATGTCCAGGCTGGCCTGTCTCAGTCCCTCTCTCTCTGGTGCAGCCACTTCAGCAGCCAGGCTGCTCCCTGCGAGCTGGCGGCCTGGCGGGCTAGCCTGGCGGGGTCGTGCCTACTCCTCCCCCCCTCAGGAAGTGATGTCATCCCACTCTCTCCAAGGAGGAGTCAGAGCGCGGATTGTGGGAAGTGGGGAGAAGGGTGAAGAGCGCGGGAGCCGCATGGAGGGGTGGCTGGGCGGGGGTGGGGGTCTGGGGCTCCAGCAGGGTGCGCGTCCCCGACCAGACGGGCGGCTGACGGCCCCGGAGGGGAGGGGCTGGGACGCCGTGGGTTGGGAGCCGGGCTGGGGCAGGACAGAGCGGTCAAGAGCGGCGTTTCAGCCCCCGTTTCCCTAAGGCCCTGTCTCCAGGCGGCTCACCTTAAAAATACTGGGCTCACGGGGGCCCCCTCAGACGAACGGGATGACTGAGAGGTCAGGCTGGGGCAGGGGGTCCCAGCAGGTGCGGCAGGTCCCAATCCCCTCTAAGCACTAATCCGAGGGACCCCCGCGGGGGCGGCTGAAGGGGAGTGCCCGCCCAGAGGGGCTGGAGGGTGAGGGTCCCGCCCAGAACACCTTGTTCTCAGGTGAGCCCTGCGGAAGGCCCTCTCCCCAGTCACCTCAAGGGGCACCCGCCTCTCATCCCCACCCTTCACTTCCGGGAGTCTAGACTGGCTAACGCTCCTTCAACCCCCACGTGCCATTCACCTCACACCTGCAAACGCGCACACCCAGCCCCGCCTGTGCACACGGCCCTGCCCTCCCGGCTCTCGGGCGGGAAGTGGGGAGAGCCTGGCTCCCGGCCGTGCAGACGTAGCCCGAGATGTATCCAGACGCTGGAGAGATACGGCCAGTGGCAGCCTCTGCCCAGGCTCAGGGGGTGACCAGCCTGAGGCCAGCAGCCGTGCTCAGGGCCAGTGCCCACCTAGATCATGTGGCAGGGCTCCTTTGGGCTGACCCCACTGGGTGTCCTGGTACAGGCCTGGACACCACACCCTGCTCCTCCAGCCTGCCCCTGCGGCCAGAGCACCACTGCAGAATCCTGGGCACAGGGCTGGGTGCCCAGGCTGCCTGGCTTCGAAGCTGGGCCCCACCACCCACTGGTTGTGTGACTTACTAGCTGTGCCTCAGTTTCCTTATCTGTAAAATGTCACTCGACCCCCCTGCTAAAGTTCTGATGAGGACCGCGGGGGAGAACGTCTGCAGAGGCCCCAGACGTGCTGGATAATGCCAGGGACAGGCCCAGTGAGCGGGTGAGGCAGAGGACGAGCTTGAGAGCCCCGGTGGACCAGCCGCCCCTCCCCGCCTGGGCTAGTGGATCGTTCAGCTGGTCAACGACAGGTCACGGGTGTGTGGGATGGGGGTGACAGGGCCCATGCTGCTGGGAGAGGCTGGCCACTCCATTCCATGCGGACTCATCAATCTCAGGGCTGCTATTTTTAAGGGCCTGAAAGGCACCCTTTCTCTGAGACCCCAGCCCTTCACAATGGGGGCCTGTTCCCCTGCTGGGATGTGATTTCATCTGGAGGAAATGTCTCAGGAGGGGGAGGGCAGAGGCTCCTTCCTGGTCTGGAGCTGCCACAAAGCACCTCCTCTGGCTCTCCTCCCTTGGGGCACAGGGTCGACGCCCTCCAACAACAGCATTTGTAGGACACACAGACTCCCCTCCTTACCCCAGACTAGTGGCACCTCCAGGGCAGGAGTGGGGCCCCCTCCAGCAGGGGAGAACAGAGGCACTGCTAGGGGCTCCCCATATCCCCTGGCTGGGCCCCCAGCTCAGGCAGGTCTGAATGGGGTGCCAAGAACCTCCTCACGTGGACAGTTTGACTTGAGTGGCCCTTGGGGGTCCCTTTCTGCCCCCATCCACGAAACCCCATTTCCCTGCTGCTGATTCAGGCCCCCAAGTTAAGTATTAACCATTTGGGGAGTTCCTTTCTAAAGATACAAAACTCTTTTTTAAAAAATGCACATGCTATCTCCTATTTTAAAAACCTTCAGTGGCTCCCCATGCCTGCAGGATAAAGTCCAAGCCCCTTCAGGCAGTGGCTAAGGGTCTTAGTCTCTGGCTGGCAGGCTGTGCAACCCCGTGCAGGTGCCTTGCCCTCTCTGAGTCCTGCGCCAGAAAGATACTCTCCAACCCCTGGGGATTCAGGACGTAGTCAGCTACAGGCACAGAGCCTGCCTTCAGCCAGCCAGTTCCTTCTGGCTGGGGAGGCACTCCATCCCCTTCTCACACTGCCCCCACCTTTCTTTCCCAACTCCCCCCAAAACTTGTTGTCTCCCTAAAAACACCTCACTGGACGATTCCATGCTTTGCTTACTCCAGGTCCTCTGCCAGGCAAAATCCTACTCATCTTTCCAGGCCAGCCAAAAGTCATGGCCTCTTTGAAACCGTCCCTGACAGCACCCACCCCCCCAACCCCACTCTTCTCAGGCAGAACAGGCTGCTCCCTTACGGGATCCCCAGACCTCTCGTCCCAATGTAGCCCTGGGCACAGTGTCTTACAGCCAACTTGCCAATTCCTGGCTGCCTAGCCCCACCCCAGCTCAATCAGAGCCCCTAAGGGCCTGGGTCTTGCAGCGTTGTCCATCTGTGCCCCTGGGGTGTGAACACATCTTACCTCAAACCAGCCCCTCTCCTCCTGAGCAGCCTCAGAGCCCCAAACCACCACTCCAGCCCCCCAAAGCTGCTGTAACATCTCCCCTCCAGCCACAAGGACCAGAGACATGGCTCCTTTCCCTCTTCGCACACATCCCTGGCTTTTTGGGAAATGTCCCACCCCAGTGCCTCCCCTGACCACTGAGGGAGAACCATCTTTCCCCTCCTCTGGCTCTCTTGACAGTCTGGGGCTTTAGTTTCTTGGTCGGCAAATCGGGCATAACCCCACCCCTCAGAGGGCTGTAGCAGGAACTGGCTGGGACACTGTCACTAAGGCCGGCACAGGCCCCAGCAGATGCCAAGGGTCTATTCGTGGGGCTGTCGTAATCGAGCTCCTGGGCTCTCTGAGGACTTGTTGGCAGGGTGATCTGTGACTGGGTGCTGGGGTCTGGGCAGGTGCTGCTGATGCCCATGGCTGGCACCAGCTGGTAGGAAAGGGCTGGACCGAACAGGTTAGAAGCCCAGACAGGCTAACCTGCCCTCGCCATGGGCCTTGGGGGGTGGCTGGCTAAAGCACCCCAGGCTGGGCCTCATCCTCTGATCCTAAGGGCCCCTTGGGGGTGGCCCTGGGAGCAGGTTTTGGGGAGAAGAGCCCTTTCACAATGGGTGCTAGCCAGCGGGGTGCCGAGAGCCCCCAGGTGAGGGAGGAGGAGGGCATGGCTCTTGTGTCTACCCTCCAGGTGGCCCAGAGCTGGTGGGAAACGGGAGCAGGGCCCTGTCACTGGAGCCGGGCTGAGCCCAGCCCCCACAGGGAACAGGATGACATGCTGTGGGAGGCCCACTGAAGGCTACCTCCAGCTTCTAGGTCAGCCCATGAGCTCTCCCACCTGGCCTGAGTGGGCCCCAGGCCTCCAGGACAGGCTGAAGGTTGAGCTGGAAGAAAGGGATAACCACCAGGTCCAGGCCATGGGTCCTGCCATAAGGTGAGCACCTCCTGTGCCCCAAGTTCTGGACTAATTACCTTCCACCCTC